ACTGTAGCCATTTACTTGTCTCCGAAATTGTCTCCATGTAGCACAAAGAACTTTTTTTACACCAGTTTTCGACGAAACTTCAGAAATTGTTAATTGTGATAAACCACGCCCGAGGTAACAAATGTCGTCTTTTTATCTATTTTGATTCCTGTCTAGTTTCTGACCCTTAAAGAAAATGGACCTTTTCCCTGCTAAGAAATTGTCGCCGAGGTAGCACCTGGAACACTATAAAAGAGCATGGTAAAATATTTTATAGTTTTCTAGCCGTGTCAACAAAACTTGTTGGAAATACCAACATAAAAAGATGCTCTAACAATTAAATCATAAGCGCCTGTTGAAAGTGTATATAAGCAGAAAAGAAATTGAGCACTGAAGAATGTTTTTCCTTCTGAACATGCTTAATTTGCGGCTCTAAGGCTCAGGCAGTGTATGACTACCTGCCTTTGCACACCATCTTTAGGGCACCAAACAGTTATAGCTTATACTTTCAACCAAATGTAGCTTTGTTTTATTGCAGGTTGAAGTATTTGTTGGAGGATACCCATCAACGTGTACTGGTACGTGCGATTTTCAATGGTTGCTGTCGCAAACTCCAGTAGTAACAGGTGTTGCTCAAAGTAGCATGACTCTCACAGTTAGTGGCACAGGTTTTAGTACAACATCAAATTTAAATAGTGTCCTTATCGGATCAGGTTCATGCGGTATAACAGCTGCTTCAGCCACCACTCTCACATGCACCATTGTTAACGCACCATCAGGCGTATATTCAGTAGTGGTTAACGTTGCTGGAAAAGGTCAAGCACAAGGTTCAAATAGTTTTACAGTGACTATACCATTGCAAGCATCAAGCATTTCTCCTACACAAGGCGGTGCAGGTAAGGATGTTCTAATCGACTATCTAAAACGCTTTCCATTCTACTCTCTCAACAGGTGGTGGTTATGCAATGACAATTAACGGCATGGGTTTTTCAAGTTCAACGATTGTAACAATTGATAACAATATTTGTACAAATCCACAAGTGACGAATTTTGCAAGCATCACATGTATAGTTCCAAGTACATCAGCTCAAAGTGATCGTCAAGTATCAGTGGTGGTTACAGATGGTTCAAACACAGCTACAGTTTCCTCACAATTCACATACAGTGTAGCTAACACACCAGCAATAACCTCAGTTAATCCGAACGTTGTCTATATAAGCGGTATGCCTCTTCTTAGTGTTTGAATAAAGAATTACTTCTTTTTCTCGTCCTTAGCTGGTCAAGTATCGATTACAGGAAGTTTGTTCGGTAATAGTGGAGTTCAAGTTCTTATTGGTCAAACAATGGCAAGCGTTTTAGAGTCAAATGACACAAACATTTTAGCAATCTTACCGCCGTTGGCACCTGGGATCTATACAGTACAAGTTAATACAACGAGCGGTTACGCACGGCCGCCTGCATTGATTGAATATCGATTCTATGTGCAAGAAGTAACACCTAATGTTGGCTCATTATACGGTGGGACCGATGTTTATGTTCAAGGTCAGGGTTTCGACAGTACAACAACCGTTAACTTTGGAACAAATACGTGTTCAATAGTTTCTGTTCAATCAACTCAAATCCATTGTCAAACAACAGCAGCAACGCCTCAGGTTGTCATCACTTCGAACGGGGTTGATCCAACCTACGGGCAAGGATTTGCATGGTCTCCCTACTATGCTACAGTCCAACAGGGTTCAATTGTTCAATGGCAATGGGGCTCATCAGCGCTACTGAGCAGTCTGCAGTATAAAATACAACAAGTTGCAAACGGATCAACAGAACAAGCGGTATCAGGTGGTTTTGATAGTGGCACAGCGTCTTCCTCGGGCAGTTATTCGTATCAATTTCAAACAATTGGAACGTTCTATTACTGGTCTGGACCAGTGGATGCATCCGGTTTAATTATCATGAGAGGCGTCATCAACGTTGTTGCGGCTCAATCTGTCATAACTCAAGTAAATGTGTCTTCAGGATCTTTTTCAGGTAGCCATTTTTTCTAGTCCCGCAAAAGAAACAGTTTATACATGTATACCTATTTCAGCCCAGACATGTACATTTCCATTTACATTCAACGGTGCCAATTATACAGCCTGTACATCAGACAATGATACACAGTCATGGTGTTCCCCGTCATTTATATATACTGGTCAAAGATTATATTGTGCATCAACAAGTATGTTTTTGGAATACTACGAACAAAGCTCTTTCATTTCACAATTTCTTTTACTTTTATAGCTGCAGTTCCAACATCTTCCTGTGGTAGTGCTTCCGTAATCAATCCATCAGCATGTTCACAATCGGTGCCATCAAATAATCTACAATTTCTGTTTACATCTTGTAACGTGGGATCGGTGGCATCAATATCACCGGCACAAGGGACAGCCGGAACAACTTTGACGCTGACAGGTTTGCCTAACTTGTATAAAATATATACATATGCGTTTTTTCAAGCTTAGCATACATTCAATTCAAAGTAATCAAGATGAGCTTAGTTTTTCGTTCAAACATTCATGTTTATTGTAGTGGACACCTTGATTAACCGTGAATTGTTATTATTTAACGTAGGGGCATGACTCTTTCCATCGTACTCAGTATAGAGATACAAAAGGTTATAGAGGTAGATTTATTTACTCAATATTCGGTATTATTATAACCTCGCGTTTTAGAGGGAAAAAAAGTTCGCACAAAGACATGAAAAAATGACCAGTTTTAGCCCTACAACCAGAAGTCAACTAACGATCCTGTCATTCCACTACCATTACAATCAGACGAATCCAAAGGCAACTCAATCTTAAATTGAGATTTCATTCTATTTAACGAAGGACTTGATTGGAAGTTTGTTCATTCTCTCTTAAGTTATTCGATGTGTATCTCTTCCTTTTCCTCTTTATACCTCTGGAAAAATCTGAATATAATAAATTCATTCTAGGCACTGGCTTTAGCTCAAATTCATGCGAAAATGATATACAAATAGGAAGTTCGTACCATTGTCCAATTGTCACTGCTTCATCAACACAATTAACATGTGTCATTGCTACTGGATCATCTTTGAATGGAAATGTAGCACAAAATGTTCAAGTTGCATTGATCAAAAAGGGCTATTTAATTAGTAACGGTATATTGCAGTTTTTATTTCAAGCCTCGATAACGGGTGTGCAACCAACAGAAGGTATAAAGAGTTAGTTTCGAAAAGAACTTGTTCTCATTTTATTCTGAATCTAGGCTCAATTAATGGTGGAACACAAATAACGATTTCTGGAGATGGTTTTGCGTCAGGGCAGACACTTGTTTTAATTGGAAATACTGATTATACTAGTGTAGCGGTAATAACATACAACAGTATTGTATTTACGACGAAGAAGGAAAATACTTATCTTAATCAAAACTTACCTGTTCGAGTTTACATTGGTACCAATCCAGCTGTGTGCTCAGCATCATGCAATTACACATTCAGTTCAGCAGCAACACCAAGCTTAACAAGCGTTAGTCCAACATCAATAACAGGTTCAACCGTGCTTTCATTTACAGGTAGCTTGTTGGGATCTAGTACTTCAGCTGTTCTCATATCTGTGAATGGCCACTCGTGCAATGTCACAACAGTAACCAGTAGTTCAGTTCAGTGTCAATTGGACAGTGTTGAAGCGGGTACTTATAATGTAACGGCATCCATTGACGGTATGTAAAAGATTTTTTCTTTTCCCCGAATTTATCTAAATTTATCATTTCTTGTTTTCTTTAGGTGTAGGAGTTGTTTCAACGAGTTTAACAGTCACCTCATCAGCAACGCTAGCAAGTGTTAGTCCATTATCAGGCAGTATATATGGTGGTATGACGCTCGTAATCAATGGAAATGGTTTCAATAGTAGTAACGTTCAAGTAACAGTCGGCTCATCAGTGTGTGTGATTGTTCAAGCCACAGCTGGGCAAATTCAATGTACAGTACCAGCACAGGGTACAAATCCATCTTCATCAGTGGTGCGCGTTACTTCAAACGGTGTACAGTTTCCTACAACGTACAATTTTAACTACAATTCTGCCATAACTCCAGTGGTTTCATCTATTAGTCCAACATCAGGTGGAGCACAAACGAGTCTGACAATAACGGGTTCAAATTTTATTAATTCCCAAACAACAGTTGCAGTTGGTGGTAACCAATGCATAATTCAAAGTGTGACATCATCGTCAATCAGTTGTACTGTGGCTGATGGACCAGCAGGCAATCAGGCTGTAGTCGTTTCAGTTTCATCAAGCGGTAACTCAAATTCAAATGTGGCATTTGTTTACAACTTACAAGTATCAAGTATATTACCGAATCAAGGCGGCTATGGCGGTGGTCTAAGTGTAACGGTAAACGGTGATGGGTTCAGTGCATCAAATCTTGCTGTTACTGTTTGCAGTCAGCCTTGTACTTCAGTCTCAGTTTTATCCAACACACAACTAACCTGTGTAACACCAACTCTAAGCGTACTATCTACCGATACATCGTGTAATTTGGTGGTCAACGCCAGTCAATCACGAAGTGTATCGTTTACTTATAAAGCCAGCCTTACAGCGTCAGTATCCAGTGTCAGCCCAACAAGAGGGGGTACAGGTGGTGGCACAACTCTTACGATTACAGGAACAAATTTCCCGTAAGTTCTTTTACTTTTCTCAAATATTTAAGAGATTAAAGTGTTCTACTCATCGTTTAGCAGCTCGAGGAATTCTGTCGCAGTCTCAATCGCAGGCGTTACCTGCGCTGTTCAAAGTGTTGTAACAACAAGTATCACGTGTTTAACGGGTAGCTATTCTTACACAACTATCCAAGCTCCAGTTATTGTATCGATTACGAATTACGGAAACGCTGCTGGAGTAAGTAATGACATCGTCGACTTATCGGTTTTTCAAGACTACTCTCTGAATATGTTCAGTATGCTTTATCTCTGAAATCAGCCCCTTGGAGAGGCTTGGTTCGTATCAGAACTTTTCATTGGAAATCTGATTGTCAACAATAACACGGTTCTAGAACGTATTTTCAGAATGAGATTGAGTTCGAAAAGAAGCATTTATCTGAGATAGAAATCAAAACCGGGCTTTACACAGCGTTCCACAGAATTACAATGGGCTGTGCACTCGTCGTTCTCGGATACGATAAAAAAACTTCATTCCATTGCACTTAAGCAACAGACATTATGGGAAACATACATTGTAAGTGTCAGGTTACAAAACTGATTTGAGTAGATTAATGCTGTAAGATAATAGATTTGAGTAGAATAGGAAGAGGTTCACATATTGAAGATGGTAGATTTATTCATGCAACTTTCCAACATTCGATTAAACTTTTGTTCAGAATATTCAATATCAGTATATTGATTTATGGTCGAGTCCATGGACATGGGGTGGATTATCACCACCTGAAGCTGGGAGTTTGGTTTCTATTGATAGCGGAAAAACAGTTTATTTCGATACAACCACACCAGTTCTAAAAGCACTTGTTATCGACAATGCTTCGCTGATATTTGATGATAATCAGGATGTGGCCTTAAATGCTGAATATATCATCATTGTTAATGGAGGAACTTTTCAAGTTGGTACAGAACAGACACCATTTCAGCATAGTGCTGTCATAACAATGTATGGTCAATTAAGAAGTATTGAATTACCGATATGTAAGTTTTTCTTTTGGTGAGTTTTATTTTACTACTGTTATTGTGATTTTAAAGATGGTGCAAAAGTATTGGGTTTGCGCGATGGTGTAATTGATATGCACGGAAAGCCAGTAACACAGCCATGGACAGTTCTTGGATCAACGGCACAAGCCGGCGATACTCAAATCACACTGAAAAATCCGGTTGATTGGGCTGTAGACGATCTAATTGTTATTGCTACTACCGGAGATTATGAAAGTCAAGGAGAGAGTGAAGTACGAGTAATAACAGCTATTAGCCCCAATGGTACTGTACTTACATTAGATTCACCATTAAATTATACACATTCTGGTGTAACGAGAACTGTCGGTCCGGTAAATGTTGATATTCGTGCAGAAGTTGGACTTTTGTCGCGTAATATTATATTTCAAGGTAATAAAAATGTTTACTGAGAAAATAAAAACTGAAGTTTTGATCTAGAATAGATAGAAATAGTAAACTTGAAGTAAAACCGTTAAAATTAACCGAGCTTTCTATCGTAAAACGCCAAACTATACATTTCCTCAAGGTTCGTTAATGAAGTTACTTGAAGTAGAAATCCAGAGAAATAAATGAAATCAAGTAGGCAAACCTTCCATCATTGAAACTAACTAAAATTTTGAAAACACGTTAGCTAATACTAGCGATAAAGATCAAAATTTCTTTTTGACGATATTTACGGTGATTTGTGTACCGAAAGAAATCGAAATCGAATAAATTGTTTTTATAGGTTCAGTCGAAGCTAATTGGAACGTAACAATCAATGCGTGTCCAGATGGATTCGATCCTGGTAACAGAAGAAAAGAAGTTTTGATAGGAGCTTTGTAAATGAACGTGTTGTAAATATTTTAGGAGAGTTTGCTACACAAACATGTTTTCTCGGGCGATACGGTCAAGAAATCGGTAGTGATCAGTTTGGTGCTACAATAATGGCAAGTGCATCAGATGGTGGGCAAGCAATTATGCGCCTATCAAATATAGAAGTATATAATGCCGGTCAAGCATTTCGATTGTAAGCAAGTTAGTCGATTTTTCTCACCACACGTGCAACAGTTGTTGGTTTCTAGGGGTCGTTATCCTGTCCATTTTCATATGAATGGGGATATGCGTTCATCATATATCAAATCATCAGCAATACATCAAACGTACAATCGAGCTGTTAATATACATGCAACAAATTACGTGACCGTTGAAAACAATGTTATATATGACATAATGTAAGTTTGTGTAACATGCTTGAGTTAAAATTTTCATGAATATCACTTTGAAGGGGAGGAGCATTCTTTCTCGAAGACGGTGTTGAAATTGGGAATGTTTTTCGTGGTAACTTGGCTGTTTTTGTTAGAACAAGTTCAAGTCTGCTGAATGAAGATGTGACACCGGCTGCCATTTGGGTTAGTATGCGTCTTCTGGGTGGCAAAACTAAGTATTAAACTAATTTTTTTTCTAGGTGACGAATCCAAATAACACAGTTGAAAATAATGCAGTTGCAGGCGGTACGCATTTTGGTTATTGGTACAGAATGCTCGAAACACCAGACGGTCCGTCATTTGCAATGTATCCGAATTATTGTCCACATCGTACACCATTCGGTCGATTCTTCAACAATTCAGTTCACAGTACTGGACGATTTGGCGTGTGGATTTTCCCTGAGTATTCACCAACTGTTGGAGGAAACTGCTGGGGTGACACTCCATCGCAAGCAGTTTTGGAAGGTTTAATATCTTGGAACAATCAAAAAGGTGTAGAATGGGTTATGTCAAGCACAGTTCAATTCAAAAACTTTCTGGTGTTTGATAATGCTGATACGGGCATATCCTGCGTAACAGCCATCAACGATCAAAGAACGGATTTACCAAATTTGGAATCAACATTTTATAATACAAGTGCTGGATCATCAGTTATTAACTCGGTTATTATAGGTGATACTGGAAACTCTGGATCGCCAGTTGTTCCGTCAAGCGCTGGTCTTGTTGGTAAGTAAACATGATTTATACTGAAAATAGTATGTATAACATCATTTTATTCTTTTCAGTAATGTGGGATAGAGGTATGAGAGTAAAAAATGTAACATTTATCAATTTTCCAAGCTCACAGACACAAGCCATCCGTAATCCCATAATCGAAGGTCGATGCGTCACTGGATGTGGAGGTCTGTGTTCTTTCTGTCTCCACAACATATAGAGAACTGAATGCACTCTCATATTCAATAGGTTGGGTAACAAAATTTTCTCAATTGATTTTCGTTAACGTACAAAATCGTGGTAACTTTCGGTGAGTTCAACTAATATTTTCGTTTATGGAGGTCAGAAAAACTATTCTTAATTTTTAGATGGCTCTCAGATGGTGTCTATCAAGATGATGACGGAACGTTGAGCGGTGTTGTGGGTGGATCAATCGTATATCCAGATGGCTTAATGAATGGCTCTTCTTTATGCATACCAACTCCCCACTTTGTGAACGGAATAACATGCCAACCGGGTATTGGGACATGGTTACGCTTTGCATTGAACAATGCTAACCTTGACATCGATAATGATGAATTTCTTTACATATACGATATTAACAACAATGTTGTGGCAGTTCCATCATTGAAAAAGCGTCTGACACATCCTTTAGGCTATATGGTCGCATTCCGAGCGAATCAATCGTACACCATGGTATTTCAAAATGCAAACAGTACAGTCAATTTATCTTACACTGGTGCGATGTACAATCTTCAACCGGGTGATTATGTCATCTTACGAAGCAAAGTCGACTATATGCCAGATCAAGTTTACATAACATCGTCAAGTGTAATGGCAGCGCAATCACAAACACCTCTATCGCCCACCACAAGTAACAATGGTGATTGGTACTATGACAATTCGACAAACTATTTCAGCTTTATAGGTAAATAATTTCAATTAAAAAAGAGAATGATAATAGAAAGTTTGTTTCATTTGATCTTGCAGTGAAAAGTCCATCCTCAAATACCCGTATGGTGGATGTTTCTCTACCAGTACAAGTTATTAAATGCCGTTACCTTAATTGTCAATATCCACAATCGCCAGGGCTCGCATTACCACCTACAGCAAGACCAAATAATGCTTTGTATTGGTCAAATGACAGCGACTGGTACTGGGCTACACAAGGTTACGGTGGTTACGGAAGTGTAAAGCCAAGCGATGGCCAAAATATTTATATTCCATCGGATATATGGTTAGTTGTCGATTATCCGTTACCAACAATTCTTAATTTAAAAATTGAAGGAACTTTAGAATTTGAACAGGTCTGTTCTCGGTGGTTCGATAAAAGAATCAATCTGGATGAGTATGTTTTTGTTTTACTAGGGTCTTGATAATACATTATCAGTCAATAACATTATTATCAATGGCGGCAATCTGATTATTGGTAAACTATTTTGTAACTTTTCGAACTACTTATGGATGCAATGAATTTTTTTGCTTTAGGTTGGCCAAACAATCCATTGAATGCTAGTGTTGACATTATCATTAATGGCGATAGTAGCGCGAGCAATGTGATACTAGACACATTAGGTTCGATCGGTGCAAAGGTGGGTAATCTCGTTGATCAAGAAATAAGGAATTTTCTACCACTAATAAATACTGGACTTTTTTACTCTCTAAGGTTATCGGTGTTCTTGGAGGTCTTACAATAACTGGTCTACCAAGAAACGTAACATGGACAAGATTGGGCTCAACAGCTTCATCTGGTCAAAATACGATTACATTGAGTCAATCAGTTGATTGGAATGTCGGTGAGGAAATAATTGTAACAACAACAGACACAAATATAAATCATACGGAACAGCACACAATTGCATCTATAAATGCAAATCGAAATATAATAACAACCGTTCTTCCACTTTCATACACTCACATTGTTTTACATGAAACATTTCCGAATGGTCAAGTTTATCATGTCGCTGGCGCTGTTGGCCTATTGACAAGAAATATTCGTATACGTGATAATAATCCCAGTGGTGCATCACAATTGTTTGGTTATCGAGTGTTGGTAACAGATTATAACACACCCGTTTGGGATCCGATTGGTTTGACAAACATCAATACATATTACAAAGGCTATGCTCGTCTATCAAACACTCAGTTTATTGGTTTTGGACAATTTGTCAATGCCGATCAATTAGATTTACGTGAGGGTATTCATATCTATGATCTTGGAGATTGGAATGCATCACGTCCAACATATGTCGATTCATGTTCGTTTAATAATGGATATTTTACAGCGTATGTATAAGCCGATTTTGTTAAAACAATCGAATACCTGTTTTCTCTTGTTATGTAGAATTGGCTTATGGGTTGCGAACGGAATACCGATCACAAACAATGTTATTTTTAATACTTATAAATCAGGAATTGTTATAAATGGTCAAAATAACATAATACAAAATAATTTGGTATCATCAATCTATTGGACTGGTACTGCACAACCTCAATTCGTACAATTTAATTTAGACTACGACGCAGCCATTTGTTCTAAAGATGCTGTCAGTGTTGTTATGCAAGATAATTTTGTTGCCGGTGTCGAACGTTTGGGAATACGTATCCAAGGTGCTTCCTGTCCCGGAACGGTGCTACCATCAGGAATTAACAATAGCTATTCGAATAATGAAGTTCATTCGGCCATGGCTGGTGTCAGCATATGGCCAGATGATCAATTTATATATGATACAGGTAAATTGCGTATTAGCAAACTAATACTTATTAAACTAAGATAACTATATGTTGACTTTTTGATTTAGACTGCGTTTTGATTACTGGTTTTAAAACTTATAAAGCATGGTACTATGGTGTATATATTCAGGTTCATCGAAATATAATCGTCGATTCTACAACAGTTAGCGATTCTCAACTCGGCATGTTTACACTTGTAATTGGTATACCAGCTTTGACACATGTCGCAGGAAATAAATCTATTCAAATTCGAAATTCGTTGGTGATCGGAGCAGGCACACCAAATGATTGCTCTGATGTCCTTAATCCAACAACTCCTACAATTTTTTATACACCAAAAGCAGTACCAACGGTATCTGGAACAGGAGGTCGTGTTGGTATCACATTCCCGTATATTTCATCAAGCGATAATATGATGCCTAGTCATCCATGGACAGGAATTGGTGCTTATCCGACTGTGGATGGTATGATGTATGTTTCGAACACAACATTTGCCTATTTTAATACGGTCTGTGGTAGACAAGATGTAGCCATAAGTGTAGCACAGCATAACGACGATGGACAATTTCCTATGAATACAACTTCAATATCGGTGTACAATTCGTCCCGTGCTAATATTCTTTTCAATGGCAGGCCAAATTTGGATGTAGTGGATCCGTCGGATTGTGTTGGTATGTTTTACTCTTACAAAAAAATAATAATAATTGTATTGTTCTTCTGACAGACATGGATTGTGACGGCTTAAAGAAAGATTTACTTATTGATTTTGATGGTTCATTACTGGGCACACCCGGTGTTGTATTTTCGCAAGCTGAATATGACTGGGGTATGTAATGATCAATACCTTCTCATAGTTGAAAATCATGGGATATACAAGTTTTTCTTCATTTATCCTGCTCAAGACTTTAATCCACCTCAGACTTCGCAGGAGCCTGAAGAGAGTTTAAAGAGTCTATTTAAATCAAAGAGATTTTAATATATTTAAGTTCAGTGGGTTCAATAAAAAAATTTAAAGACAGGTACAATAATAGTTCTCAATCTCTTTTAATTACTTAAACATAGATATTTTCGAATAGATATACAAATATTTCCCCTTTGAATATAAATTTTTTGGAAACATTCGGTCTGCTAAAACCTGTCCAAGTTTCTTTATTTAAACATATTTCTTTATATTTTGTTGTGGGTAAATCGAATTTCACAAGAGAAATCTGAAGCTTTGTATTGCGTTTACATCGGCAAATCTTGTAAGGAGTCATAAACTATCTAGAGTTTCAAGGAAGGCCGTGAAGCTTAAAATATTCAATGTTTCTCAAGTGTAAACCACAAGAATATTAAAACATCAATATGAGTTTTATTAATTGATTCCAGTGACTCTGTTCAGTCGATAAAACAATTGTCGATCGAAACAAAGACTTTTTTTCTCCTAGAGATGCGTTCATAGCCACGGTTATATTGAGTTTATTATGGTATAGCATCGGTATTAAAGATGAAATTTTCTACATGTGATATCTTCCGTACAAACCTGTTTTGATAGGAATCATTCTTTAGTTACTTATGAGCAAAGCCCCTTCAATTTAGATTGCTGGAAAGAGATATTTTGTATAATTGAATAACTTGACGTTCTACTTCTAGCGTACGGAAGCACTTGCTAGGGTGGACGTTAATATTTCAAAAAAACTTCTTTCCAATAACTAGAAAAAGATTTGACAAAAGCTAAAAAGTTCCTTAGAAAATTTACTAACAGCTTTAGAATATCAGTGTCTGTAAATATGTATAAAACTCTTTTCTGTAGGCGACCAAGCCCACGGTGTTGGAGACTATCGTATCCCATCTGCTGCATTATCAAGTTTAACTGGTCAAATGATCAACATAAATTTGACATACCCGTACCGAGGCATTAGTCGTGGACCAACATGTCAGTATAACTCAGATTGGCAAATGTACTATTGTCCAAATAAAACTGATTATCGAATGTTAATTATTGAAAGTATGGATTCTGATACCGAAACACGTCGTCTATCTCCAGTTGGCATATTCTCCGATAACGGTTATATCGATCTCATTAATGGTCCTCAAGATCACGGTTGGTGCAACGGATACACCTGTCAAAAGCGAATATCAACATTCCAAGCCATTATTGAAGGTCAGCATCATTATGATATTTTTCTATCGAGTACACAACCAAATCAAATTAGATTTCGGATAATTGATGGCGATGCGACAATAATGAATACATTGGCATTACACTATGATTCACTACAACAAATTGATGTTTATGCTAACGGTGTTTATGTATCACCATGTAATCGTGATCCAAATTATTCATTTTTAATGTTACGTGATACACCCAATACGGTTGATCAGACTTCATTACCTGGCTCAAATTATTTCAATCGAACAACACAAATGGCCTATTTTGCCATCAATGGTCCAACTGTGATTGATCTGAAAATTTCTCAGTTAATCGTATTAACATTCGGCCTTCCACCGCAGACTCCAGCATCGTTTTATGATGTAGGTAGTGTTGTTGCCAATCTAGCTGCTCTTTTGAATGTGCCAACCAATATGATTAGACGTGTAACCATCATAAGCGCAAACAACAACACGTGAGTATATAGATAATTCTTATTTCTATTAGAAATGATTTGTCTTTCTTTTAGACGTATTTATCGACGACAATTATCAACAATTACACTTCAAGTTGAAATACGAGGTGAGCCCGATAATTATACAACTGACAATTCGACAGCACAAGCACAACAAATATCGGACGTGTGTTCACATATTATTAATAGTTATCAATCCGGACAAATGAATGACGCGTGCCAAAACAATTCGAATTTCAGTTTATCATCATTGAGTGTACAGGAACCATTAGATCAAGTAACAAATTTATTAGGTATTATTAATCGACTTGTTCTTGTCACACCGCCAGCTAATTGCCGAGAACAGTGTCCATGCAATCAACAACCGGTTCTTGTTGCCTATGATCGTCTAGGAAATATTATACAAACACTAGGATCGAAGGAACAACCATGGCAAGTAAACGCAAGTGTTGTCGGTCAGCCTAATATCAATTTAATCGGTGCCACAGCAAGTTATCAAAACGGACAGACTCAATTTTCAACATTCGGACTACCATATCAAGGCAGTTATGCAATACAATTCACCTTTATCCAACCGAATGGTGTTAGCAGGTAAAATGATGAACGCATTTTTTTTCGTGTACGAAAATTCTACTTAACATTCAAAGATTAAAGTTAGCATCGCCAATAGATGCAAGTCAGCTGCATAGCCATTGTACGGAAAGAACTCACTCAATGTTGCACTTATAAAATCCGCTGCACTGAACAGAATTCAGTACTATTTTGAATTTTTTCTTTCTGAATACAGCTGTGAAAAACTCTAATGTTTATCACTTGCCGTTCAGGCGGAACGGCTCAAACAGTCGAAAAATACAAGATTTTAGCTTTAGCTATTTGCTTAACTTGTTTTTCTTAAACTACTGCTCGAACTGATTTGTGTTTGAGTTTATGCGCCATAGAGTTAGAAATTTTCTAGCGTTTTTCCAAGTAAAGATATTATCAAAAACGCAGTAACATCTTCATCACTCGACATCTGATCGTAAAAGTTAGCTTTTAAAAATCACCCGAACTACATCTATGACAACACTAATGCGTGTTTTTGTTCCAAAATAGTTCATACATTCTCAGTTACTATGTTGCGTCATCAGCCATTCCAGTAACAACCGCTTCACTGGCTGCAAAAGTCGTATCAACTGCTTATGTTGCTTTTGTCAATCAAACATTCAACATATCCGTGGTTATTGTCGACAGTGTATCCAAACAACAAATTCAAAATATTTCATGGCGTGGTTTGACTTGGGCAGCTACCGTATCATTGTACACACTGCCGAACTGGAATAGTAATGGTCTTTTAATTACAACACAATTATCGGTTGTCAGTATCGACATACAAACTGGGATATTTACAGCATCGAACTTGGCTATATCATCAATTGGTATGTATGTATTAAATATAAAAATTACATCATCGAACAATGAATATACTATTATTTTACCATCAAATGGTATCCTTATTATTGCTAATGGAAGTAAGTTTTTTGCGTTTATTATATTGCCGCCTAACTAAGTAGTCTTTTCTGTTCAGCAACACTGGAAACTGTCACCGGCGAACCAACAACATACATTACATTCAACGACGATTACGATTTACTTAATGCATCAAACAAATTGGAAATTAGACGTGCTACGATATACAATTACTTTCTAAGTATTGGACTGACACTGCTAAGTGATCTCACATTGTCCAAAGGTAATTATCTTATTCTTTTGTATTTGTGTTACCTTGCATCTTCGTTTAGGAAGTACCATCGCGTCGTTTTCGCCAAATACATCAAATCCAGCAACCACGACAGCAGTAGTTGCGAATATTAACAGTAACCCATCAGCATCTGGTTCTTCGGTGATAAATATCAATATTGGCAGTTATTCTAAAACTCTGGCAACATCATCCACGACTGCTGATAGTAATACTGCAAATAATGTTGGTCTCATTGTTGGCCTAGTCGTTGGATTAGTCGGTGCAGCCGCATTAGTATTAGTTGCATTTGGAAGTTACAGAGCATATAAACGAAAAATACACAAAAAACGATTAATTGACAACGGTTATGAAAGTGGTATCAATAATGACAATGATGCAGACTTAATTCCGCCACCAAAGGAACCCAATGTACCTGTACGTTCAACGACTGCAACAAGCGTAATTCGACGTACATCCACCTCGTCACCAGTCACGACACAGAATGAGACAAATGCACGATCGACAACAGCAGCTACAGCAACAACATTTGGTAACAAGCCACAGTTTCCACGATCAGTATCAGACCTTCGCATGAATTCACCATTACCGCGTACTGGATCAGCGACTATTAGTATTACAACGCTGGATTTCACAAATCCATATGAAAACGCAACGTTACCAACTGTTGAACTAATCAAATTTGAAGATTAGAATAAGAATGAAGAACGCATCAAATAAAACTGCTACTTTTCTGCCTTTTAGTTTTTTCCAAGCATATTTTCTAAATTCCTTTCCTTCAAAAACATTCTGGTTTAAAAACTTCTCGTTTAGTTTTTTATTCTCATAGCATCAGAAATAAACATTTTTTGAGCTGTTTTGACCAATATTCAGAAATGCTGAAATATCTGTGAAATAAAGTGTGCGTGCTGCGCTAAAATGCCTATATGTGAATGCGTTTATTTCAATTTAGTTAATAAAAACGATGAATATTGTCATTATTTCTTCAGAATGAATGTGAGAACATGGTCAGGTGGAAAATTCAGATTTGTATAAAAGCCGGAAAAATTAAAAAAATTCGACTTTGCTACAGATCGCTGTTTGCACTCTTGCTCACACCAACTTGATATCTCCTCACCACTTAAGGTATATCTGCCATTTTACCCACTGGCTCCATTATCTCGCTGATACGTGCTCGGAAAAAACATTTATGCAAGTTTCGGATGCTTTTATCTCAGGTACAACTCAACAAACTGTGCTGAAGCCAATGCCTCGATATCTCTATGCCACTTTTTATACGCCCATTTTTAAGAAAATCCACCTAGAATGCTCTGTGTTATTCCCAGATAAGAGTATAGAAAATTGCGAAATAAGGTTTTAAATGCATTACGTAAAGATAAATATCGACATTTTTCAGGTTCAAAGAAGTTCTGGTCTAACTTAAACAAAGGGGGTCGATAAGAGGCAAAATCGGCCCCCTCTTAGATCAATCTCATACTCACAGATCTGATATAGTTTTTCTCCACGATTAAAACTAGCACCTTAAAAAACCCATTTTGACACCCTTGGAAACATTTTCGCATCTAAACTTTTCTCTCGCTAGATGAGCTCTACTTAGAGTATTATCCTCATTTCGTCTCGTTTGCTCAAACCAAACCTCAGCTACTGTATGCTATTCGATAGAAGATTTTAGGGCCTACAAAATGATATATAAAATATTGAGAAAAATATGTAACTAGGTAGTCTAAGATTGGAAATACTTGGTAGCATCTCAGGAAATCGATAGGTCAACATTGTTCGGGTTTATACTGTCCAATTATTTTTCCGTTAATCACTTCACTTTATATATCACTTGATAGAGAATTTCACAGGCTACAAAATCAGCTGGAACTCATTATTTTAGAACTGTGATTTTGTAAATATATTTGACAGATATCTCGATTCTTTTCCTAGAGTGATACATAAAAAAATTATAGTTTCTTCTACAGGTTTTTTAAGGTGCTAGTTTTAATCACGGAGAAAACTATATCAGATCTGTGAGTATGAGATTGATCTGAGAGGGGGTCGATTTTGCCTCTTATCGCCCCCTTTGTTTAAGTTAGACCAGAACTTCTTTGAACCTGAAAAATGTCGATATTTATCTTTACGTAATGCATTTAAAACCTTATTTCGCAATTTTCTATACTCTTATCTGGGAATAACACAGAGCATTCTAGGTGGATTTTCTTCTGCGTCTACTAGGAACCCTAACATTTTGCAGAATAGTAACCAACGTTTTTTAAATACAATTTTATTTACTTTAGGGGATGTAAACAATATGATTAAGAAGCTTAAAAATAAGAAATCTGTAGGAATCGATGGTATTGATGTCCAGTTTTAAAACTATGTGCTGAAGTTATTTCACCACGATTACATCACTTTTTTACTTTATCATTAAAGCAAGGAGCTTGTCCTAAATTGTGAAAAAAATCGATAATGAAAGCAATCCATAAAAAGGGAGCTCGAAAATCTGTGCTCTAATTATCGATCAATTTCTCTCTTATGCAGTATTAGTAAAGTTTTTGAGCTTCTTATTCAAAAATGTTACCTTAGTCAATTTCATGAAAAACACGTATTAACGTACAATTTGGCTCTAGGCCAAGCTCTTCATCAGTTGACGCTCTTTTAAATTTATTCGATCGTTATTAGCACAAGTGCTTTCATCTAGTCAGAAACCACACACAGCAAATGATCATCGTCTTGTATAGTGACGGATCCAGCACTACGGCGATCCGGCGACCGCCGTCCCTCGCAAATAGAATTCTAATGCAAGGACATACCAAACTTCCTTAGAAAAAATATTCATACTACCCCGGACGACATCGTTTAGAAATGGCCACCCCGTCGGTAGAATCCTGGATCCGCCACTGGTCTTATACATGCTAGCCGACAACCACCAGACTAGTGATCATTAATGATCTCAACAAATTTTTATTCCAATACTCCAATAGTACCAATTATTTCAAAATGCATCGAGATGCTTCTTATGTAATAGACTAAAAATTTCTTCTTACATCATAAATAAACAAGGTCAAAAATTAGAATGCAATATAAACATGAATTGTAATACCAAATATTTGATTTATGTAATACAATGTCCATGTTGTTCACAAACATATATTGGCGAATCTGTAGATTTGAGAGCAAGAATGCATAGTCATAAATACTCTGTTTTATATTTACCTCATGATGTTCAAGAAGTTCACGAAGGTATAGCTCGCTTTTCTGCTGACGAATTTAGTGTGTTCCCCCTTTTAAAGATGAACACACAAGATCTGTTCATCAGAAAGTTAAAAGAAAAGGAATTTAGAAGAAAATATCATCCATCACTAAATTCAGACGATGAAGATTAATTGACGTTTCTATGACCACTATTTCAAAATTCAAAAACTCATCTGAAATGAAACAATATTTCATTTGTTTTAAAAGATCTTTTTAAAAAGTGTTGTAAATTATTTTATATAATTTGATTATATATTTGAATAAATGTTTTTTCTTCTTCTCTCTTAAATATTTTTTAAACATTAGTATACTCTACCCACACACTGATTTAAAAATATTTTTTCTTAAGAATATATAACAATTAAGGTAGGTAAAACTTTAGAAGAAAGAAAAATAGCAGTAGCAGTTGCTTTCGACTTTACAATAGTCGTTGAACCTGGCTCG